TTAGCAGCCTCTTCCGTTGATCCCGATCCCACATTATTTGCAGTAATCCCATTGACTTTGGCACCATTAGTCTTCGTTGAGACAACGACCGAGTCTTCTGCTGCTGAGTCGAGAACTGCCGCCTCCTGTTCTGGCCCCTTGCCTTCTGTGACACCTTGCAATTTGGCTTGGCGATCGACCCAGCCCGGCGGTAGACCAGGGCCACTGGTGGCGTTGCCGTAATCTGATTTCTTTGTTCCCTTTGGCCATCTACCTGGTCCCCGGCCGGTCCCTCCAGTCTTTTTCTTTGAACTCTTGGGTCGAGACGAGGATGGCCGATGGCTGTTGCTGGGACGCTTCGGTCTAGGAGCACTGGCTGGGCGAGGGGCTGTCGGTCGACTGACAATTGGTCGAGCTCTTTCTCGTCGCCCACCAGGTACGGCAGGGAAGACCTCAAAGCGGGTGAGCGGAATGTCCTGGTATGGCAGTAGCCAAGCCGGGGGGCCCACGGCTTTTGCATCCTCCATTTCAACATCCTTATCTTTCTCTTGCCCAGGCGCCACATCTTCGATAGACTGGACTGGCACTGGCTCCGCACTGTGGTTCTCGACTGGAGACTCCTGGGGTTGTTCTCCATTGATGTTCATTGGAGCATCGCCGTCTGCATCTGCGACTGCTTGAGGGGCAGACGCATCGTGCTTCTCCCCATTGACCATTGGCTGACGATCCTCGATGGCAGCCGTGCCATTTCCCTCGTCAACCTTGGCCTCGTCGTCTTCCCTTGGCGCGATGGTATTGATCGGTGGGCCGAGTTCAAAATTGACGGCATTGGTTCGACCCATCACATACGGAGTCCAAACGAGAGCTTCGGATTTTAACTGAACGTAACCCTTGGCTTCCCACTTGCCCACGTATTCTCGACAGTAATCCAAATCGACTCGGAAGGCATACAGCTTGGTCTGCGGATCTCTGACAAGGGCCCTAAGACCTTCCAGTGCAGAAATGACATCGTCCGGGGTCATGCCGGTATTGGCGGATATCCGTTTTATGCTAAGCCCTTCCGTTGCGTGTTTCTCATTCTCCATCACCTTCAAAAAGTATCGACACAGGACCAGTCGCCAGTAATTGCGATATGAGACCAGGCCCATATCAGAGAGAGGCTTCTCGGGAGAGCCCGTCTTCTCCTCCACTTTGGTGAGCAAGTAGGAAAAGTCTATAAGCAAGTTGCCGTAACCTTTTCGTTGGTGTATTGGTAATGTCAGAATACATGAGACGTTGTTCTGGCTGCTAGCCCTCTTTTCTTTGGAAAAGTACCCCACAAAGTGGTAACCTGTCTCGTTGTATTCGCATAAAACATAGAAAAGGAAGGGTTCAACGTCGTAATACAAAGTTTTCGAACCCAGGAACAGCTTGGCAAGAAGGCACAGATTCTGGCAGTAGACCGGATTCTTGCGGCCGTCGACCTCAAAAACGGAGACTGACCCATGACGATAGATCTCGTCTCCTGGTGGATGCTTGGCTGGGCATTTGAGTTTGTGCCTCCAAGCAACGTAGTCAGAGTTCATGTACTTCAGACAGAACTCGCAAATGTACAGCACTCGATTTATGCTGTATTCGGCAGGATACGGCGCAGCATACCAAGTATCGATCTCCCAGCCGCCAAAATCGATGCATTCAATCTCACTGCCGTTGTTGCCGGCCTTTTTCGATTTTCGAACTGGTGGGTTTGGGTCTTCTTGCATGACCTGCAGAAGACGCGCTCTCCAGTCATCTTCGGCCTTCTTCAGAGTAGAGGTGAACTTGTTTCGATCATCCTCGTCAGGGAGAGTCTTGGATGTGTCGGCCTCGACCTCGGTCAATATGCCGCCATAAGGCTTGCCCTTCATCTCATCGGCCTCGCGATCATAGAAGGAATAAAATGGCTGTGAGTAGTTGTCCGATGTAAAAGGCGTGGGAAGGTTAGATATAGTTGCAGCAGTAAGGTTGGCTCTGGCAACTGGAGCTGGAGTCGCAGCCAGGGCTTGTCGTTGAGGGGTCGGGCGCGTGGCACTGCCTGGCTGCCTTCTCTTTTCACGCTTTTTGCGAGATAAGATTTCCTTAAGATTGCCAGGCTTGACATGAAGTTTAAGTACAAGTGAGGTACGAGTACGTTTCTCTATCGAGACGGGTGGGGGTCGTGGAACCTTGAGACGCACAGTTCTGGGAGGGTGGTGTCGTCCGGGTTCAGCGCTTCCATTTCGTGCTGTGCTCTCTGACCCTGCGTCTTGGGACTGGTTTCGTCGTCGTTTCCTCAGCGAAAGCCCGCTCCCTTCATCTTCTAATGATGAAGATTTGCGTTTTCTCAAGCTGCGAGGGGCGTCAATAGGCTCCTCATCAAGCTCACTGTCATTGTCGCTTTGAGAGCTGGCTTCTTCGTCATCGTTCACGTGCTGACCAGATTCATGCTCTCTTGGTACCTCCGGTACATCAGACTGTTGGGAGTGTATCTCGGCATTGTGTTCAACATCGTGATCCTCCATCTCCTCATCTTCACTCCCCACGTCGGATTCTTTGCTGAAGCATTCAGGGCATTTCCAACTCTCGGGCGCTGGTATTGTCAGCATTTGCTCAACTGTGCTTACACATTGAAACATACTATTCTCCGCACTCATCGCAGCCGCGTCGCGCGCGCATTGTTGGTGAGCTGTACTTGATAAGTTTCCAAAAAAAAAAAAAAAAAAAAAAAAAAAAAGAATGCACAGGTACTGATGTGGTAGGTGAACTTACCATTACCACCACAACGCACACAGGCCAAATAAACCTCAAACTCCTCGCTGGGGTCTTCGTCTTCATTATGGCCACAGAAGATGCAGTTGCTCGAGGCGGCCGTCTCGTCATCTTCATGATCTTCCTCGGCCTCTGCAGCATCATCCCATGCGGCCTCCTCGTCTGACTCGTCGTCGTTTGCGCTTGGTGATTCGGATTTATCGCTTTCACTATCATCTTCGTCGTCGCTTCTTGTCCCTGGTTGGAACTTGACGGCACCAACACCTTCGTCTTCCTCATAGTCTTCTCCTTCAGCATCAACATCTTCATCCTCCTCGGCATCTACATCGTCTTCTTCATGATCCTGATCTCCTTCAACATTTTCGTCATCTTCCTCATCACCGCCTTGGGGAGGTCCAACACTGTCGTGAGAAGATGCCTGCGGAGGTACCGTATAGTCGTTGTCCTCCTCTCCAGATGCGTCTACATCCTCGCCAGATGCATCGTGATCGCCGACCTCGGCATCGCCACTCTCTGCAGGAGCTTGATTCGTATCATAGCTTCCTTTACCTCCGCTTGGCCTAGATGCGATTGTTTTTGTTGTTTCGCCTCCTGTTTCGCCTGCCGTCTCATATTCAACATCCTCGTCGGAAACCATGACGCTGTGTGGAAGCTCTTCAGCCATAGTTCGTGTGCCTGTCATGGTTACCCCCGCGTCCCAAAAGAAAATGTCCTGAAACGAGAGCCCCGAGTTTGCATATCGGTCGCTTTCGGTAGGTTGCGAAGGGTTTCTCGCAGGGTGGTCACGTCTGCCTCATCGCGGTACGCGGGCTTGCATCGAGGGGCGGCCGGGAGCGAATGCGCAGTACAGGTTGCTTAAACGAAAACTCGATAGTGAATTGACACGTCCAATTTGATTTGAACCACGCGTTCGTAGAGCGTCTAAAGATCGTAGAGATGCGGTCGGAAAGCCGCTGAATCACGTCGCGTCAACTTGTGTGATATCAAACAGCAGTCGCGGGAGCTAGTTGCCACAGTGCGTGCGACAGCTTCTTAGGGAGCCCCTCCAGGTCCAGGGGAGAGAAAAAAAGTCCGGAATGGTAAAAGCGAAAGTGCTTATCGGCGGATTATTGAAGAACTGGGAGTTTTAGTATAGTATACAAGTGTAAGGGAAGTAAACTAGGTGTTTCCTTAACTCCAATTTGGATTTCAAAAGTCTTGAGAGTGTTAAATCACTATCAATAAAGAACCTGGAGTTTACTCCTCCTTTTCTTCTGTTCTCTTGCTATGCTTCTACTGCTATGGAGCTTGGTAACACACTGTGCGACAGGTCCCCTCAGTTACTGTACCACGACGCAGGGATAGTTATGGAGCTTCTGGCCTCAGGCACCGAAATCCGCATCACCAATCACTGAGTCGTCAATGGCTCGGTTGGACGTGAGCTTCAATTCAAGGCCCGTTTGCTCGGTAGACTCACGACCACCGCGACGAACCCGGAAGACAGGTCAGGCTCGGTCAATTCAAACTCTCGCTCTCCGATACATACGCCAAATTCCTTCGAGTCTGCTCAGGCAGCGCCGCCGTCACGATGCCCGTCCCTTTTGAGGCTCTTCTTCCCTATGCCATCATGATTGGTGTATGTCACCATCCGATCTCGCTACCGCACGATACCGAAGCTCATTGATGATTGATAGATGTTTGGTATCTCTGGTACTGGTCTTGCCGTCGTCAAGAACTGGCAGAACGAGGGCAAACGACCCCGTTACTCCGTGGATCAATGGGATAGAGTAAGTTATGGGCATTCGACAGTATCGTCAATACTAATTATTTTGTAGCAAAGTATGATATGTCCAGCCGGATGATACCTCGTGGGTACTAACGAATTGAACAGTGATGGACCGTGACCGCCGACTTACGGGAACTCTACGAGGACAAACAGACAAACCGGAAGCGCCTTTAGGCTTCGAGTTGAACAACCCTTGGAAGGTTTGTTTTTCTATTCAACCAGCGATTCAAGCATTAATTCGATCAAACAGTTGGAAACACGCTTTTCTTAAATCGTGATATGAAACCGAGGGCAAATAACCAGAGCAGAAAGCCCAAAACTGCAATTGTAAATACACATATTTGGGGTACTAGTAGCAGGGCATCGAAGCCTATGAGACGGATGGACAGTGGCTAAAGAGAAAGATTAAAACATTCCCAAACAAAGCACTTTGTTCAAGTTACAGTGCAATGAAGCGACAGAAAAATTGGTCTTGACAGCAGGGTATCCATTATATCGCTATCTCTGCTCTATTCTTATTTAGACCCTCCAACAATGTGCAAGCCTGGCACATGGTCTGACTCGACATGTAACCACATTTGACACATTTCCCTAGGTTTTGTTTTGGTGCAGGTGCCTCCTTTTGCTTCTTGGTCCTTATTGGCAAGGCAACTATGTCGTCCTTAGGTGCTCCATTGGATGTGATCTCTGTCTCGAGAGCTGCAGACTCGTGCTTTTTCTTCAGGCTGGCCTCGACCTGGGCCATCTCATTACCAGAAGTCCGCCCGTTGGCTGATCCGCAACCTCCGAGTCCCTCGCCTTCGTCGCAGCCACACGCAGCTTGGCCTTTGTCTGGTGTAAGTCGAGCCATGTCCTCTCCACTTCGTACAATATCGAGAATTGCAGTTGGCCGCACTTTCTCCAGATTCTTGATAAGTCCACGCGCGGTTCCCCTGAAAGCCTCGGGGCTGTAAATACACTCTGTGCTGAAGTAGTCCAGCTTCTTGTGATGTGCGTAAAGTACGATCTCCTTCTCGTATGCATACTTGAGAGGCTTGCTTCTCTTGACCTCACTGCTTGCATTTCCAGTAACAATACTGGTACTTCGGGATAAGCGTGGCATGTCGCCTCGTAGCAAGTTCATGAGAACGGTCTCGGCAACATCGTCAGCGTTGTGACCAGTGATGACATGCTGAATGGCCAGCTTTTTAGCTCCTCGGTCGAGGGCCTGTCGTCTGAAAACACCACAATATGTGCAGTTTCCCTTCTTTCCGATAGTCTCGACAACTTGGTCCATGGTCCATCCGTACAGTTCATCGTAACCAACAATTTCCAGGGGCATGTCGTATTGAACAGCATTTCGCTTGACTGTCTCTAGGGAGTCGTCCCGATATCCCTTGATGCCCTCGTCGACACTCAAAAGTACTAGGTCAAGTCCATAGTTGTGTCGTTCATTCAAAGTCTTCATTACAGAAGCCAGCACTGTTGAATCCTTGCCACCTGAAGCACCAATAGCAACTCGTTCACCCGGAAAGAAGAGGTCTGATGATGTGATTGTGTGATGGACTTCGTCCTCGAACACTCTGATGAAGCAGTCTCGGCATAGCTTGTGATGGTTCTTGGGTCGCTTTACAACAGCTCGGTTGTTCTGACACCGAACACAAGGTGTAGGTGCCATTTTGCTGTTAGTGGAGTTGAAATTCTCAACTGAGTCTCAACTGGTTGGGTCTTTGTGAATGTTTATATGGACGAAGTGAGTGGACGACTTGTACAAGCCCAGGAGCTTTTATGCCGACCGATTTCAGTTGTGTTTTCAGGGGGGGTCTTTTGAAATTTACTTTGACTTTACAGATTCTAGCTTTCTTTTTTCCTCCGTCAAGATGTTGCCTCCCAAGCATTGACTCAAGCAGTGAGTTATGTTTGCCTGACTGTAAGAGTCACAGTCACGTGCGCTGCATTAGTCGTTAAAAAGATCGATCCCCCCTCCCCTGCCTGGCCTTAGGTTGTTTCTTCCAGCCAGTGGAGTCGGGTTTTTCTCAATGTGGGTACAGATTTCAAAGAAGCCCTAATTATTTTTCACCAAAGGCACTCGCTTTTCTTCTTCTTGACTTTTGTTCTCCATCCACCATCGTGTCCTGGACTTTTGCTCTTCAACCCACGAGCAACTACTAACCCCAACTATTCAAGATGGTGAGTGAATGAAACAATCGACTCGACTCTAATGGCCACAGTTTTGTGAGTCAAATGCGCTTTATTGTGCAATTGAGCCACAGCGTCGTCCACTTGGTGGGCCGACATATGCTGTTGGTATTCCGCCAGTATTCGATCACTATAACAGGTGTCGAGCTGGTGAAGACTTGGCTGGAGATGCGGCGTGTGCAGAAATGCCACGGCCTATTCTCGTTAGAGTTCAGAGAAGACCTTTTGTTGGCTTGAACGCCTTGCTGATGTCTTCTTTTCTCAATGACAGCCTCCCAAGTCCGGCAAGAAGGTCGCTCCCGCCCCTTTCCCTCAGGGTAAGGCTGGCAAGAAGGCCGCCAAGGTTAGTAGTTCTATTGTCTCTTCTGGTGGGATGATCGCTGACATCCATAGAACCCTCTTCTCGAGAAGCGACCTCGCAACTTCGGCATCGGCCAGGACATCCAGCCCAAGCGAAATGTCTCTCGCATGGTCAAGTGGCCCGAGTATGTCCGCCTCCAGCGACAGAAGAAGATCCTTCAGATGCGCCTGAAGGTTCCCCCGGCTCTCGCTCAGTTCCAGCACGTCCTCGACCGCAACACTGCTGCCCAGGCCTTCAAGCTCCTCAACAAGTACCGACCTGAGACCAAGGCCGAGAAGAAGGAGCGTCTCCTCCAGGAGGCTACCGCCGTCAAGGAGGGTAAGAAGAAGGAGGATGTTTCCAAGAAGCCCTACACTGTCAAGTACGGTCTCAACCACGTTGTTGGCCTCATTGAGAACAAGAAGGCTTCTCTCGTCCTCATCCCCAACGATGTCGAGCCCATCGAGCTCGTCGTCTTCCTCCCTTCTCTTTGCAAGAAGATGGGTATCCCTTACGCCATTGTCAAGGGCAAGGCCCGTCTCGGAACGGTCGTTCACAAGAAGGTATGCTTATCGAAACCACGAGCTCAAGTTCGTGTCTAACGAGTCACAGACCGCTGCTGTCCTCGCCATCACCGAGGTCCGCTCCGAGGACAAGAACGAGCTCTCCAAGCTCATCTCCGCTGTCAAGGACGGTTACCTTGAGAAGCACGACCAGGCCCGCCGACAATGGGGTGGTGGTATCATGGGTCCCAAGGCTCAGATGAAGATCATCAAGAAGCAGAAGGCTCTTGAGGCTGCTACCAAGATCTAAAGCTATTTGTTTATACCCTCACAATGCATTGCGATTTCGGGATCAAACGGTGTTGCACGGTTCAGGGCATGGAAAATGAATGATTTTTCTCGGGTTACGTTTCGTCCCATCCCACTTCGCAGTGACCAGTGAGGCCAGTCTCATGACCCTCCTAAAAATAGATGATGAGCTTGCTTCTTGGACAAGACTTCAGCCTAAAGTGAATGTTTCGCCTTTTAAATGTCCTATCAAGAGGATCTCAAACTCTGGCCTCATCAAGTGCCTTCTACGTGCCCATACAAGCGGATTGGTGTTTTGTATTGATTTTGACAGAGCTGGCACGCAAAATATGTCACATCTTGCCATTTCTACTGCTGAAGGATTATATAGTAGTCAGGGCCGTGGCTGCTGAAGCAGTTTATTCCTAAAGATACAACGCCAATCACGGTCCTTGACCATACTCGGGAATACGTGACGTATGTCGTTGCACCGTTTGCATTCACACTGATCAATCTTGGGTGGCTTTACCTTGCCTTGATCACTTGAGACCCTATTTGCCATGTCATCGACCTAAGGTTGAGTACTCATAGCTTTGAAAACCAATGATTCAGCTTCATTGGCGAGAGGAAATCCAAGATAATCACAGCCGACTCAAACAATTGCGCTCCATTCAAGCCATGCTGTAAATTCATCTTATCGTCAAAAAGAAGCTATTCCGTTGCCATTGCCGCTTTAATTTCCCCTCGTCTGTCGCCCCACTTGGTGTGTTTGTGTGTTTATCACGTCGCTCAACTCATTCAAACAACAAAAGGCGCCGGCCGGCAGTGTGACTGCTTTCGATTAACCGAAGACAAGCTTGAAGATGTCGTTGTAGACGAAGTACTGCCCATTCGCATCGCGGGCGAGCTGGAAAGACTGGCTGAAGTTCATGGGGCGCTGCTCCTCGTCGACCTAATATTTGTCAGTGGGCACATTTCAGTAGGCTGTGGGATAGTCGGAAACATACAAGGAGAGCACCGGTAATGAGGATTATGACACCGCCCTGGTCGTTGGAGGGCTGGGCATCGAGGGTAGAGACTTGGTGCTTGACCTTCTCAAAGGGGAGGCCCTGTCGGAGAGATTGTTAACAACGCCGACTCGAAGTCGCTGGTGACGAAGGGGTGCATACAGCAAGCTTCTCGGTAATAGCCTGGGTGCCGAGGACGGAAGCAGACTCAAAAGTCAGCATAGAGTTGTCTCGCTATTAGTAGAGTTAGCGGGTTGTTCTACTAGAGTGCTCGTCGTTGAGCTGGAGGGTCACTTACGTAGAGAGCAGCGAGACCCTTGCGATCACTGTCGAAGGTGTTGTAGTAGAACTCAACAAACTGCTCTGTTTGTTTTTCGTTAGGCTTCTCTTCATGATCATGTGGGTTGGACTCATAAATCAGTCCAGGAGGGCTCCAAACATACTGGCAACTTCCTCAAAGTCTAGAAGTGTGCGCGGTTAGATTCTCTCGTCGTACAGCCATTCCAGAACAGTATAAACTCACTTCCGGCCATTTTGAAGTCTGGGGACCTGTCCTGGTCGTTTAAATCGCTAATGCGTCGAGAAAGGGGGATCCGAAGGGTTTTAACTAGGTAAGGTAGAGAACCGTTGGGTTGTCGCAAAGTCTGCCCGAGGGGAAAGCAATGGAAGCGAGCAAGGAAGAGAGATGAGATCAAATGGATGGTGGGGTTGAGGGGGCACAGTGCAGATTAGGCACACACGTCAGCGATGATGGGCTGCTCCTAGCTGGTGCCCACTGAAATACACTGCAGATTAGGTACAGGGCTGTGCTCATACAGTGCGGCTTCGCTATAAGCATAAATGGCGGGATGGAGCTTGGATATGCCGATAATTCACCATACCCCGGTCCGCCGACTGAATAAAATTGCGCTGGAGCTGTTTTTGAAAAACTTTCCTTGCCTTCAACAACAATTCAGTTTCCAACAACAATTGGTTCCCGCAGACATTTTCAGGCGGCAAGCTCTTGAGATTATGCAGACGCGCTCTGCAGCATCAGAATAACATATGTCTGCGGGTTTTTTCCAAACCAATAACAGTAAGGTACGTTTACATGACACGACACAAGAATACACGTCTCGATGCCTCCAGCGCACACTCTGGACGCGTTTAGCACCCCCTTTTGCATGATGACAAACTCTTCCATTAAGAACGGCCAACTGAATCTCTATGTTGATTTCAAAATTATCAAGCTCAACAGTCTGACATGTCTCCTTCTCATTCATTCTTCACACAAACAAACGTGTTAGAAGCACTGCGCTAACATGGCAAAAAGTTTAGTAAACGATTGGCACGAACCTTGACAGGATCCATTTTCATTGCCAGCCTTTTGCTCGTCGAGTCGGCTTGTTCCTTGGAAGCCATTTCATAGAATGCTATCAATTGATTATTACTCTGACCTTGACATTCTTATTGGGTCCAATCCTGATTCAGTGACATGCATACTTGATGAATGTGTACTGATAATGGCCAGTCGTATATTCTTACGTCCATGATCTTAAAGCTCCAGGCTGCCCCCCTCATCTAGGGCTAGAGCCAAAGCAGACTTCCTCATATCCCAAGCCTTTTCCTCTATAGCTACGATTCTGTCTTAAGGGGTGAAGATAATGTAGCGGAATGCCATACCGAACTGTCGAACTAGACGATAGCAGCACTGTAGCCTTCAAAGCCTGTCTGGTGCATATAGCCATCTACTCCAGTTTGCAAGGACGAAGTAAAACAATGCCCTTCTATTGTTCAGGTAATGATACGTCACATAGAGTTAACCGATTCACCGGACACTGATTCCTTCTGCTGGCTCAGACTACTCGATTGTAGAACCTTCTAACCTCTAGTAAGTAACCCACCCATGCCTCCTCAGGATCAAAAATTGCTTGTTTTCTTGCACCAAGAAATGACAGGCCGCCTCGATACAACATGAGCCACTTGCTTCCCAAACCAATACTTCCTTGACCTTCGCCTGTACACCACATGAGCTTCATAGTGAAAAGTTTATATCTTGTGCTGTCAATACTCGTGCAGGTAAAGGAGTAAACCCTTCGACCGAAGAACTGGTCCATCACTCTATGTCCAAGCTGCTAAGGCTGTCCATGTCGACACCCAACGGTTGCTTTATGTTTGGAGCAAAACCGTCATTTTTTGTCGTTTTCTTTCGTAATTCAATAAATAGACGTCTCCGCTGAAGTCTGCAAGATTGATCGAAGATCGAGGATTCTGCCATCATCATAGCTCCTCCTCATCCTCAACCTTCGGTTTTTGGGTTTCGATATTGGAGGGCGTTCCTGACCCCGACCCAGATCCCCCAGAAACAGCCGAATCTACCTCTGACTTCAAGCCAGATCCTGTTGAGAGGTTCAGACCTCCCGGTCCGTAATCCACACTGGGTCGGTATTTCTTGAGGGGACTCTGGAAAATTGACTTGCTAGGTGTATCGAGGCCTACAGCATTCGAGAGAAGATTGTTGGCGGGAGAGCCCCCTGTGGTAGGCACTTGTGACGTGGATTCGCTAGCTGCGGTCGGGGTTTGTGACAATTCCGGTGTGGCCAAGCTGTCTGGGTCTGCAGAATGCGCCCTCTTAAGCTGCATCATATTGTCAGTTCAAATATTCTCGAAGATATAACCCCGGAGCTTACGTGAATACGATCCACGCCCTCAGCAAGTTCGCCCTGGAATTTGACGTCTTCTGGTGCAAGTTTTGAGTTCACATCTTTTGCGTACACTTCCTCCATCTTGCCGAGGTTCTCGTCGTCCTCTTCATCATCATCATCGCTATCATCTGCGATGTTTCCATTGCTCTTCTTTCTAGCCTTGCGTCGTCTCGAGGCTTCGGTAGCCTGGTCGCGGAAAGCGGAGAAGCCGACAGTGCCACCAGCCTTGAGAGGTCCGAGGCTGGAGAAGTCTAGTTGACCTGACCTTCGTTTGGCTGATCCAGGGGTTGTCTGAGGGTTCTTTGAGGACTGCAGAACCCCGATCTTTTGCAATTGTCCTGCAATGTGGGTTAGTGTACGATCCTCAAAACGCCCGGTAATACTTACGCTCTCCTCGGTAAAAGAAGGTAAAGACAGCGTAGGGCTTGTCTGGTCCGTCAATACCCGTGACTGTCTGTGTACTGATGGTCTTCGGATCAAGAGTCTTGGGCTTCGCGAAGCTTGTCGTGTGTTCAACGTCGGCGTCGATGCCATTTCCTTCCTTAGAGCCCATGTCATCTTCGTCGCCGTCGTGAGCACCGAACTGGGGTGAGTATTCACCCTTCTTGATTTCGCCAGAGGCAAGCACGCGGAACATAGCCACCTTGATCTGCCCAGTCGCCTCAGGGGGTTCGTCATCGTCGTCGGACCATGAATCAGAGTCGTCCACGACAGCCTCAATAGGAGACTTGTCGTCAGCGCCATAGCGTAGTGTGTCCCTGCGTCCTGTAGATCCCTGTTCCACGTCGGCACTGGCGTTTCCTTCCATGGCCCGTTGTCGTCGGCGGCGCTTCTCAAACTTTTGGCGACGCTTCTCTAGCTTCTCGGCGGCATCATGGCCTTGTAGGTCCAAGCCGTTGAGCCAACGCTCGAGGCCAACCTCGCGGAATAGAAATTCTCGCTCAGCCAGACCGCCACCTTCAGAGTCTGGCACCTGAACCCAGCGGCTGTTGACCCATGTTTCCTCACCTGGTCGCAGAAGAGTAGCAACTTCCTCCTTGGCTCGACCGTCAAAGTAGATGTAAGCAGCGATGGTCTCATTTTCGGAGTTGGTCATGGGGATGTAGGGGTTCACAACGCCAGAGGACTTATTCCGATCGCCGGTGTTGAGACCGCCGACGAACTGAGGCTTCGGGTAGGGGTTATCATCACTTGGCTTCGGGGTCGAGTATGGGATGGGCAAGCCGGGGGTGAGAAGGGTGATGGAGATGGCGAATTTTGCAGGCTCGGGTTTGTTTGACTCAGCGAGCTGAGGTTGGGGTACAGGAATGTAGGTACTGATTCTTGAGAGA